TCACTCTGAGATTTGAAGTGCCTCATCCTTCAGTGAGTGGGCAGGGTGCACGGTTATTTTCATTGTGCCTCTTTTTGCCAAGCCTCTGTTATCCCTATTTATAGATATCCTGGGATGCAATTCCAATAAGTCTCACCTGCCTCAGCAGTTCCCCCTGTGGTGTCCTACTTATGGCACAAATCAAGGGGGCTCTAATTAGAGTTTCTGGCCCAAGCCAGACTCAAATGTTTGACTTTGGATTTAGAAAGATTTCACAGATTCCTTACCCTCACCATGGTCGTAGGCAGAGTCCCTGCTGTCTCCAGAGCTTCCCACCAGCAATCATGCACCCAAGACGTGGTCCAACATCATCCCTAAAAAAAATCCTGTCTCTCCTGCCTGTTCTCTGCTCTCCTGCCCGCCCCCAGGTCTCAATGACTCTGGGTTTTTTTATCCTTTCCTGATTTTGAGAGGGAGGCAAAACAGCAGTAACTCTACTCCCTGACTGCCTAATGATGGGGAACTAATCCAGAAACACAGCTTGGAATTAAAAACCCTTCCAGCCTTTATTATTTCTATGCATCATGTTTGTTTGGAGCAAAACTCAGCAGCTTGGATCATCTGCTCCGTGTCAGAGCAGAGATGGGGAAGCATGGCTTGCTCACAGGGTCATGGGGAATCTCTTTAGGAGCAGAGATCTCATCCCTGTGGAGTCACAGCCAGCTGGGACTTTGATCCAGGATCATCTTTTGGGGAAGGAGGGAGCAGAGATGCCTGCCTGCAGCCCAGGTGTCTCCACGGACAGGTGAGGACAGGAGCTCCCTGACACTGCTCTCAGTGCTGCTCTCCTCATTCTTGTGGGATTTGGGGCTTTTCCTTTGGTTCCCCATCTCCAAGGAGGAGTGGGGAGACTCCAGCCTCAGATGAGAAAAAAAGCCTGGGAAAAGGGTCTCCAGACCCCGAATGCAGCTAAGCAGGACTCAGGTGAGCTTCCTTAAGGAGCTGATTTCAGCTCAGGAAGCTGAGCAGGGGGAGAGCCCCAGTGCTGCTGTCAGGGGGACCAGCTCGGGAATGGGAGCTCCCTGTCCCAGGGGAAGGGCAGGAGAGGCAAAGGCAGCTCCTCCTGCATCCAGTGAAAGAGAGAGAAGTGGGGAAACAAACACATTTGAGGCAACTGTGGATTCCTCAAGTCTGAAGCCAAGAGACACCACCAGAGCAGGACAGAGGGGAGCAGGACAGGAGCCAGGGAAGGGCTGGAGCTGGGCCAGGGCAGGCTCAGGCTGCAGAGCAGGGCAAGGTTCTTCCCCCAGAGGTGCTGGCACTGCCCAGGCTCCCCAGGGAATGGGCACGGCCCCGGACAGCGCTGCCAGGGATGCCCAGGGTGGGATGTTGGGGGGTCTGGGCAGGGCCAGAGGGAACTCCATGATCCTTGTCCTATCCAGCTCAGCATATTCCATGATCCTGTCATTCTGCATGGAGCAAAATGCCTGGAACACTCCTGGGAACACAGCCTGCCTATGATCCCTCTGGCTGCCCCTGTCCTGCTCCCAGTCTCTCCCAGTCTCTCCCAGTCACTGCTGGCTGTTCCCAGCAGGGCTGACTCGGCAGCTGCAGCCATGAGCTCCAGCCCTACGGGGCATTGTCACTGCCCAGACTCAGATTGTTCATATTCCAAAGGCTTGGAGGGGCTCTGGGCAGGAACAGGGAGGAATCCTCAAGGGAACAGAGAACACTTGAACTGCCTGAGCCACAGGTGCCAGAGCAGCTCAGTCCTTCCTGATCCATGGCCAGGACATCTGCTGAACCAGGCCATCACGGGGAGCTTCTTCCACATTGCATTTCCCTTCTCTTGACTCCAGCTTTGATGGGAACGATCTCGCTGATGGAAATTACATTAGAGCCACAAGATCCTTCCATGGAGTTTCCTTTCACAAAGGAAAAAAAAGAAATCTTTCAAAACCAGTTGGATGAAATTTCTCTTCCACCAAATTTGTCCACATCAGATGTTGTAGCTTGGCAGCAGAGATGGGGCCCCCTGGAGTGGGGGTCACCACACCTGTGTGTCAGGGACTCCATTCAGGTGGGACAAATCCCCACCTGCGCAGGCCTTTGGAATCCTCTTCCCCATCCACAGGCAGAGGAACAGCCCCATCCCTGAGCAGAATGGGAAGGGGGAGGGAGGGGCAGAGGACAAACACCTTTCCATGTGACCTCGACAAGGAGGGGCACAATCATCTCATTGACAGCTTGGGTTGTCCTTCCAGATAGACCTGAAAACTTAGAGGAAGCATTTTGTTTCTGTTCCTGCATGGAACTACCAGCCAGCAATCCATGGAGACAAATTCTGGAGAATTAGGGATGAATACAGTGTGTTCCCACCACTGCTGGAGGCCTGTGGTGTTTCTGCCTCTTCAGCCCTGCCAGGGCTCTGTGTGGGGACAGTGCCAGGGGACAGTGGGTGCTGGGTGCTGCACTCTCTGCTGGTGATGGGGAGCCCATTCTCCCTCGTCCCTCCTGGCTCCTTGCTGCTGACCTTTGTCTCTTTGATTTCACTGCTGGCATCAGTGACAGGAGCAGAAAACTGAGTGTGACTTGCATGGTGAGAAAGGAAGGAAGAGGAAGGATCCTGAGATGGAGAACAGCCAGTAAAGTCCTGAGCCCTGCTTGGTGAATCCCACTCAACTCAGTGACATCCGAGTGTAAAATAAGTCTGGGAATATCGGGAAGAGTTGTGCCAACCCCAGCAAAGCACAAAGCAGGAGTCAAACTCCCTTCATGTGAACTCCTTTGCTACCTCACCAATACCAGAGCTCAGCCTTTGGAAGACCAAGCTTCTATGAGAATTCCTACTGCCCACTGCATCCCCTTCTCCAATATTTGTCATTCCAATGGCCTTCTAATGGCTGTAAACACAGGAATTGGCATCTGGACAGCAGGAAATCTAGGAAATTAGCACGAGGGACTCTTCTGGGCTTGTGGCCAATGTATAGTCCTAGGAACCACTGAAAGCACAGCAGAGCCGAGCTCTAGAAAGCGGGAATGGTGTCACTGGGCTGGCAGAGTGCAGCTCCTGCTCCATTCAGGGTAAGTGACAGGAATTCCTCATCTGCTTTGCATTGTGCACAGGGAGCCAAACTCCCTGAGATCCTGCTTTAGGCAGGGCAAGCCCAGCTCCCAGCTCTGCCCTTCAGTTGCTGGGGGAAATGCCACAATGGTCTCTTCTTTCTCAATTTTTTCCTTTCCAGGCTCATCCTGCATTTTTGCCACCTGCTCTGGCTTCCTCATGCCCATGGAGCAGGAATTTGGACCACAAGAGTCACTAATTGCTGTACAAGGGAGTCACACTGAGCCTGTGACCCAAACAGGAGGTTCCATGGGAGCCTGTCGCAGCATCCAGCAAATCTTCCAGCTTTTCCATGGGCTTTGGGGTGGTGCTGACCCTGTGACCAAGCTGCTCTCTGCTCTTGAGCTTCAGAGTCCAGTGTAGGTTTGAATCCTTCAAGAGGCTCGGTGACGTTTTTTGGGATGAGATAGAGAATGCAGGACCTTGGGAAATCCTTCAGTGCTGACATGATGGGACAAATCAGAGAAGGAATGTCAGGAAGTGGCTGGTGAGGTCCCAGTCAGTGCCCACCAAACTGGGCACACACAGCAGGGCTGGCAGGACTGGCCAGCTCACCCCAGCACTGTCCCAGCACAGGCACTAGTTTCCTGCTCTGTCCTTCTGGCAGGACAATGAATTTGCACCCAAACACACCAGGAGCCTCTGCAGAGGCTGGATCTTGGAGCTGGGCTGGCAGGAATGGGATCTGCTGGGGTCCCAGGGCTGTTCTGCCCAGCTGGGAGATTCAGGTCTGTCCCCATCTCAGTGACACAGGGAGGTGTTCACTCCCAGGGGTCTGTGCCACACCAGGGATGGATTTGGAGACAGATCACGAATGCAGCCCTTTGGGCACTGCCTGTCACTCACCCAGGTGGGAGCTAGCTGTGGCAGAGCTGAGATCCAGCAGCACCCCAGAGTGGGGCACAGACCCTGCACCACAGCAGCCCAGGGTGGGACATTGGCCATCCAAGCATCCTCCTGCTCCTCCCCTCTGCTCCTCGTGAGCCATCAGGTCTAGAACAAGGCTGGAAGGAAGCCATGTCCCTGCTGATGCCCTTCAGTCCTGTCTGGCAGTGCCTTCCTCCTCCTGGGAAGCTCAGTGCCAGTCCCAGTGCTGGGAAGCCCAAGGGCTGGTGCAGCCTGGAGCCCCCCAGTCTGACTTCCACACATAATCCTGGAATGCACATTCCCATGGGACTGGCCCACTCCCCTTCTCTGACCCCCATCCCCTGCCAGCTGTGTGTGACAGGCTGCTCCTGCCTTCAGAGACCTCCAAACCCCAACAGGAGAGAGTGGCACAGCAGAATCTCTGTGGAAAAGCAACAGAGGAAAAGCAACGAGAGGAAGAGCAGCCTCCTGAAAAGCTCCATGCCCAACCCTTCCTAGCCTGGCCCAGGGCGTGGCTGCAGTGCCAGGAGGGCACAGCCAGCTCCACTTTATGTCCCACTGGGTCCCATGGGGTGGCACACACCCTAATGGTTTATTTTTTCAGCATGCCAAGGTCCCCCTGGAGATGAAATCTAAATCCCAGTGCTGCTCCACTCAGGACCTAGCACAGGGCCGAGCTCATCTGTGCAGAGCAGGAGAGAAATGGCCCTGCCCAAATCTTGGGATTGTTCCTGACATTCCTCTACCCCAGCTCCAAGGGGCTGGGCCAGTGTTTCCTGCTCTTCTGATCATCCTGGAATCTGAATGATGCCAGGAGAAGGTGGGACACTTTGAAGGGAAACAGGAGTATGAGCAGAGCATGTTTCACACAACCAAACCCTTTGCTGGCACCAGTTAAAGGTTTCATAACCATCCAAAAATGCCTTATTTATCACTGTGGTGTTAAATGCTCAGATCACACTCCACATCCTTTTAAATCTTCATCTTTTTAGCTGCTCCGAGTCCTTCACCCCTCGCAGATGACAACCACTTAGGAAAAAGAAATCTTTATTTTATAGTTTTTTTTGTATACTTGTACACAAGTAAAATAAAATGCATATCTATATATACTGCAATCTTGTGAAGGGGAAGGCAGCATTCTTTAACAAATGCTGCCTGTAAACGTGGTGTGAAGGATGGAATGGAGATGGAAAAACTGCAAGAGTCATCAACATAGGATTAAAACAGCATCAAATCCATTACCTCTGCAAATGGAAACCTGCAACATTGTTCAGTGTGATGGCAAGTTACAAACAGATTTTAGACATTCTTTTCAGAGCATTTCTTACACTTCTTTTTTTTTTTTTTCTTTTTTCCTGTAAATAAACCATGTTTCTTTACCATCTGCTGTAGCAAAAAGCTGCTTTGTGGGCAAGTGCAGTTCTGAAGACCAAAGGTATAATTCACAGGTTTCAGGACAAATAAATTATGTACATCTCAGTATTTGTCTTTTTTTGTTTTGTTTTGTGTTTGTTTGTTTTAATAAAGGCATCCAGTTAAGTTTTGTGTAACAAAGCTTTCTCAGGGCAGATGGGAGTCCTGCTTTTGTTTGCAACATTTATGGAGGTCAGCAAAAGTCGAGTATTAAAGTGTCATCAACCCAGGAAAAGAGTTAATTTTAGCAGAATAACAGTAAGCTCCACACCAAGGGGGGGATCAAAAGGCTTAGGCTGAGCTGTAACGTGGAGCTGTTCCCCTGCTGGGTGAGGCGGCACTGGGCCTTTGATCTGTTCTTTTTAGAGCAGCCCTGCCTCTTTTTGGTTGGGACTGTGGAAGGTTCAATGGGCTCTAGAAATTCGGGTCTCAACTTGGTCAAAGGAGGGTCTACAATGCTGGGGAAGGTCCCAAAGGGGGAATCGTTTATCTGCTTGTTGCTGCCATTTTTGGAAGGGTCCGTCTCCATGTACTTGGGCCTGGACATGTTCTCCTTCTCCTTGAGGTGGTTGTTGGACGAGCGGCTGCTGTGGGAGGAGGGTCCTGACTTGCCCTTAGCCTCATAAATAAAAGACTTGTCCATCTCAGGCTGGCAGCACTTGGAGGAGCCGTCATGGGAGCCCAGCGGGGGCAGCCCCGTCGGGAGCTTTGCCAGCCTGGTTTTAGTGCTGAAAACGCTGGTACGGATCTGGTTGAAGGAGTCCACACAGCTGTCCAGGTCGGAGCTCTGCAGCCGCTTCAGGTCCCGCCCTGCCAGGCGAGGGGGCAGGTGGCACTCCAGCTCCGAGGAGGAGCCCTTGAACTGCTTAAACCAATTCCAGAGCGAGCGGGCCTGGCAGTCGCAGATCCACTGGTTGCCATTGAGGCGCAGGTACTGCAGAGACACCAGGGGGGCCATGGTGTCCCCCGTCAGCACGGTCAGGTTGTTGTTGAACAGGTACAAGGTCATCACCTTGCCCAGGTCATGGAACGCGCGCCGGTGCACCAGGCTCACCCTGTTCTGGTGCAGCAGCAGCCGGTCGAGGTTGATCAGCCCACGGAAGACGTTCTCCGACAAGCTCTTGATTTTGTTCCCGTGCAAAAACAGGTACGTGAGGTTTGCCAGGTCGATGAAAGTGTCGTCCAGTAGGATCTGGAGGTTATTATCCTGAAGGTAGAGGTACTGCAAGGAGAACAGCCCTCGGAAAAGCCCCGTGGAGAGCTCCAGGAGCCCGCAGCGATCCAGGTGTAGGGTATGGAGGTGCACGAGCCCCCGGAAGGTGACGGGGTTGATGGATTTCAGGTTCGTGTTGTCGCTGAGGTCCAGCTCCTCCAGTTTGGTGAGCCCGTAGAAGGCCCCGGGCTCGATGAGGCTGATGTTGTTGGAGTGGATCCACAGGATGGTCATGTTGCGGCAGGAGGTGAAGCTGGTGGCCCTCACCAGCGTTATCCGGTTGTTGTGCAGGAAGATGCGCTGGCTCTGGATGGGGATCTCCGTGGGGATGGCTGTCAGCCCCTGCTGCTGGCAGCTGATGGTGATCTTGGGTTCACTGTAGCATACGCAGGCCCCGGGGCAGGACTCCACTTGTGATGGGATGTTCAAGCAAAGCACCAAAATCAGCAGTCTGCTTCCTGAGGAATGATAGAAATAGGGTGGGAATTAGGCAGGGTCATGGAGAGTGCTTCTCTTTGCAGAGGAGCCTGAAATTCCCCCTCCAAGTCCAGCACCACCAACCACAAACAGATGCCAGGGCAGGCAGTGATTAAAATGTAGTATTGCAAATGGGACTCTGCCACTCAACTCAAGAGCTTAGATCAGTGCACACTTGCAGAGATGGAGTCCCAGCCATCTCTGCCCTGCACCCTCAGGAGATGAAAGAGAGAGATCAACGCTTTGGATTTGCACATCCAACATCAGCCCTGTTCCCAATATCTTACCTGTGAGCAAAGGGAACGAATTCTGTGGCATTTCCCTCTGCCATGGGCATTCCTGGCACAGCTCAGCCACTGGAAAAGGACCAGGGATATACCAGGAAAGTCCAAATCCCATCCCAGCAGTGCCACCAGTTCCTCACTTTGCAGGGTCACGGAACAACTCTTCCAAACAAGCAGGTGTCCCCACACTGCTCTCAAAACATACCTGTGACTTTCCACAAATAATTTTGGACTGATTTCATCTTCCTTGGAGAAATAACTGTGAGACATTCCCAGAATAACTTTCAGGTCAGACCTGCCTGGAGAAGTCTCAGGGCCAAGAGGATCCTTTCCTTCTCCTGCTCAAAATTTTAAGCCACACATTCCTGTTTCCTCTCTCCCCATATTTTTTCCCTTTGAACCTGTGCAGCCACCGAGGAAGAAGAGGAAACAGCAGGATTTTCCATCGTGCTGTTGTAGGAGAAAGTCTTGTGCAAGGCTTCATTCAGGGACCCCACCAGTGTACAAGGCAGAAACAGATTCCACACGGCCCAAGCATGCTAGCCAGCTCCATGGGGCTGGAAAACCCCAGAGAGGAACATTTTTTTCCTGGTGATGCCCACCCACTTCCCCAGGAGCTTGGCTACTCTGGAATCCCAAGGAAGCATTTCGGTTCACCCAATTCCCCGCTGGGGAGCTGGGAATGAGCCGGGAGGGAGGGAGGGAGGGAGGGGATGGACACCTTCTCCAAAGGGACCTCGAGGGTCCCTGAAGGTCTCGCTGAGAGACCTGAGGAGAGCCAGGCTGTTCCCTGCTCCCCTTGGGAAGGGAGGCAGTACCAGCAGTGCTTTCCCAGCAATTAGCAGCCAGTAATTAGTCTGATTCCTCCAAACAGGAGATAAAATGAATGGGCAGCAGTCCGAGCAGCAGGAGGCTCCATTTGGGAATGCCACATGTGAGCAGGGACACTGTTACTTCTTCCCAGCTCGTCACAGCACCTCTGGCCAAAGGGCACATCCTCCCCATCACTGGGAATCTCCAGCCCAGGGAAAGAGCAGCTTTGCCTCTCTCGTGGGAGGGTTTTTCCTTTGAAAACCTCAAAACATCATTCCAGAATGTTGGTGCCTCATTACAAAGTAAGGTGGAAAAGCAGAGTTCAAAAAGCCAGACAGGAAAGCCCAGCAGTGCAGAATGGGATGAACTGGGGAGACTGGAGCCACATCCAGTCTCACAAATTCCCAAGGGGGAGTCTGAAGGCAGTGGCTGCACCTCCCTTAGAGCCTGGCAGATGCTCTTGTGGCAAATAAAACCACATCAAACACCAATAATAACAAATTAAGTCACATGGAAACCTCACCAAATATTTACTGAAGGAATAACAATTGGAAAAGCTGAGGTGGGAAAGTCTCTTTCCTGCAAGAACGGGTGGGGATCCCAGGTTTGGGTGTCAGTCTGCTCAGAACGATTCACCATATGTGGTTAATAAATCTGAGGCCAATACAGGCAGGACACTCCCATATATCAAATTCCACAAGGGATAAAACCCTAGCTCAGCATGCAGAGATAATTGGAGCCTGATGCTATCAGCTGCTGAGCAACCCTGCAAGGCAGAGTTTGAGCGCAGTGTTGTGACACATTTTGGCTGCCTTGTCATGTTTTGACACGTCACGTCCCATTGCATGAAGCACAGTAAAATGAGACAACTGAAACTGCCTGCTGCAGCCATGGCACAGCAAGAGCAGCCTCCTGGGAAATTAAAACAGTGCTGGCAACTCTCTGGCCACCCCTCTGCAGTGATAATGAAACCCCATGGGCAGAGAAATGGGACTTTCTGGAGCCTCTCTCGGCAGCTCCGTGATTCGGGTGGCACCGGAGCAGTGGGAATCACCTCCTCATGCAACACCTTCCACTCAGCAAACAGCTCGGACTGGGACACTGGGGCAGGATCCCACTGTCCCCAGGTTGCTTGTCCCTGCCACGGCCTGGGGAAAATCCAGCCACAGCCCACGTGCATCCCACAACCTCAGGAATAAATGGGAAACAGCAGAAGGAATGCAAAAACCCCTTCCCCAGTGAGAGGAAGGACATCATCTCTGTCCCAGCTCCAGCCAAGGGCACAATAAATCCATGTAAATCCACGTATACACGAGGAGAGAGAAGAGGACGGGAAGCAGCTGGCAGAGGATGAGCCATGAGCCTGCCCTGTGCCGCCCATCCCGGCAGCTGAGCGGGCACAGGTGATCCACAGGATCTCTCTTGCTGTGGGAAGCTCCTGGACCAGGCTCCTGTCCCAGCTCCTGTGGAGTTCTGTGGCTCCAGGAGGGAAGGGGCACATCCTACTCCCCTCCAAGGCTCGAGGCTCGTTTCTCCTGTCCCACTCCGATGCCCCGGAGGCTGCCAGCAGCGGTGAGTCAGTGGCACTGAGAGCGCTGCCAGCCAGCAGCACCGGGAAATTAATTACAGCAGGGCCAGGCTGTGCGCTTTAATTAGGGACCTGGTGTTCATGAGCTGCTCGGATTAGCTCCTTCCACCGAGACAGCTCCTGTCAATCACCCCCCAAAGCCTTTTTCCAGTGACTTTGCTGCCGTGCAGCTCAGCCGTGTCCTGCCTGATCCATGACACAGCCCAGCCGCTGCCTGTCCCCAGCCAGGGCAGGGCCAGGGGAAGGGCAGGAGTGGATGAAGCCGTGGGAGGCTAAGGTGTCAGGAGGTGGAATGAGATGAACTTAAAGGTCCTTCCCAACTCAAAGCATTCCAGGATTCTGTGATTCACAGCTGTCAGGGACAAGGGAGGTCAGAAGGTTCCCTGTCTGCCCATTCCCAGAACATGGCATGCTCAGCTCCCAGTGGGGAGCAGCATCTCCCCTTCACCTTCCAGATAAATCCATCCTGACTTCTGTGTCTGCACTGAGCTCCCACCAACACTGGATGCTGGATCCTCCATCTCCAGCTGGACTCCTCCACCTCAGGACCCATCCCAGTGCCCATCCCTGAGGAAAAGGCTCTTGGAATGACTCCTGTCCCCTACTCTCTTAGCAGAGAAACCATCCTTCCCTCTTTCAGAACATGATTAAAACTTAACTCGAGAGTTCCTGTCAAAAGCAAAGCATGAAAGAAATTCCAGAACCTGGAACCTTCAGTCCCTCCAAGACTTTGGCTTTGAGTTTAGCATTTGTTCCTCCACAGCTTTCTTAAAAGCCAGGAAGCTCCTTCAGTGAATCTGCAGCGCGTCCCTTTTGCCATCCCCGAGTGTTCTGACTCACGGAACTGGAAGCAATTAAAGTGGGTCCATTATCTGTCTCTCCGCCGCTCCCCGGGGCCATCGCCTTGTCAAACGTGGCAATTAGAAGGAAAAGGCTCCGGGGACCTCCAGCAGATGCTTTGCAAACTTTTTTTTTCAGGAGGCCAAAGCGAGCTGCAGTGTGGTGCCGTTTGCAGAGCCACGGCCTCTCCCCGCTGCTCTGCTCCGTCTCCATTGATTTGGAGATATTCTAATGTGGCTTTCCTGCAGAGGAGGGTCAATAATCATCTGAATTCTCTCCTGCTCGGACATAAAGGGAGCACTTTACAATACAAAGCCTTTTGCTGATGCACACAGCGTTTTGCCTCTGTTTATAGTAGGGACACACTGGAGCTGCCGAATTCCCCACTCAGAGTGGGCATCCTTTGAAATTCCGTGGGCATCCTTTGAAATTCCGCTCTTGGTTGCTCCTGGTGCTTCCTGTTTTGTCCTGTGGCCAAAGGTGGGGCTGTGCCTGTGCCAGGGAAAGAGGGCAGTGCTTTGATGCATTTCAAGTGGAGGTGAATGGAGAGGTCAGTGAGGAAGGGCGATGGACTCGGTGTAGTCTGGAGGTTCTGGAGAAGGTTCCCTCCCTTCTGCAGCGGACAGGAAGGATGGAGCATGATGGTGCAGCTGGAGCGGCTCCAGCTGGGAGGCAAGGATGGGGTGAAGCTTTGCCACCGTGAAACACCTGGGGCAGGCACCAGAGTCACAGCTGCGGGGTCCCTGCCACCCTCAGGCAGCTGCAGAACAACGTTTTGGGGCCAAAGCAGGTCCTGAGGCACCTCTGCATCTCGGTGGGGCTTTTGGGTGTCAGACACTCCTCTTAGGTGGGACAATCAGCGAGGTCACTGGGGTGGGCGAGCTCTGGGGCTCTGAATCACTCCATGTCCAGGGGCTGGAGCTCGAGCCCCAGCTCACACCAGAACACCGGTGGTGAATCCCAGTGGCCTAAAAATAGAGAGCTAATTCCCTTTGGGACATCTTTGGGGGCCTGAGGCAGCAGGAATGGTGCAAGCAGGTTTGGCACAGCTCCGTGTGAGACGTGTGCCAGCCCTACCTGGAGCTGCTGGGATGTGAGCAGCAGTAGGGGCAGCACCTGAACCCCAGCCCTGACTTGTCCCTGATCCCACATCCTCTGACACTGCATCCAGACCCATTAACCTTGGGACCGAGGTGCTCTTCCTTGCCTTTGGCAGCACAGCCCCTCTGGAACATCCAGGCTGTGCCCTAAACAGGGTTTGAGCAGGGAAAATCCCAGCTATGGTCAGGGCTGAAAGGTCATTTTTGTAATGCATCCCGGCAGGGAGGCAGGCAGTGGATGTGCCATCTCCCTTCTTCTGGTGTTCATCTTTTCCTCTTAAATCACACTCCCTTAATGCGATTTTTGGACTTAATACTGCAGGGATATTTTGAAGTGAAGAAGGTAAAAACGAGTTATATCTTGTGCAATTCTTCCACTCCATCCTCCCGAACCTCCAGGGAGTTTGAACACTGATTCTTCAGCATCGCTGGGGGCTGAGCTCCACAGCTCATTCCAGGAGCTCAGGGCAGAACAAACCTCCCCTGGGACAGCTCCATCCTTCCATTGGATGTGCCAAAACAGCTCCCACATGTGGGGCTCCCCATCCCTGCCAGTGGCTCTTCCTCACTCCCAAAATTTTGGCAGCAGCCTGGATTTAGCCTAAAAACATTTGGTCAGGGTTATGCTTTTGGTGCTTTGCCAGCATTTCCCTCAGAAGCAGCAGGGAGAGGAAGGAGAAGGGGAGAGTGAACAGTTTGCATTTCAGCCCATTTGAATGAGAACTCGACAAGGAGCAGAGAAATTAAAGTTTCTTCTGTAGCCAGAGGGTTTTTATCCTGCTGAATTCCCAAGGCTTGCTGCAAGGCACAGAGGTGTGAGAGCTGCTCAGAGAAAAGGTCACCAGAACCCTTCTGAGGGGAAATATCATGGGAGTCATTGGGTCCCAGGTTAACAATAACAATTATCAATTATTACAGCCCAGGAGTGCCCTGGGAGGCCAGTGAATGGGAAAAGTCCTGATTCCAATAAAAGAAGGTGAGAAGAGCTGCAGGGAGCCAGGCCAGGGACATTTGGGCTGGCCTGAGGTGGGATCCAGGAGTAGATGGGAGTGGGAATGCAGCTCTAAATAGTGGGAGCCTTTCCCTGGCACCTTCTCCAACCAAGCCCTGGGCAAACAGCAGCCTGAGGCAGAGCTTCCATGGAATAAAACCTTCCTTCCCCTCTTGGGGATTCCAAGTCCTAGGAGCCTGTAGGAATGCTGCTCCAGATGTTTTTGCTGTACTCCACAGCTTTTCCTCTTCACTGCTGGGGTGGGAGG